CATTGTTGTTGCTACTGGTGTTGTACATACTTAGAGCTCATCAAATGTTTAAGGAATATAATTATTTCCTAAAGGCATTGGAGAATATATGATTAATGTCCAAAGGTTGGCTTTCACAAAAAGACCTTCCTCCACTATTTATAATTTGCTTGCCTTAAACTTAAACTCTCTTAATTCTATTAATTTTCTCTTTTATAAACTACATTAGTTTGTATTATCCAGACTTCAATTCCACAGTGCATTGCAAAATACCAAATCTGGTACTTTCCTTACACCTCTTCTTTATCATTTATCATTTATCATTATTATTATCCCAAGGGGATAGGAAGAAAGCTAGGGAAATGTTGCATTGCTTTGCATATAAAGGGAATGATCTGGTAACTTTTGTTTGTTTGAAATCTTGGTCACTGGTCTAAATGTCTCTATATTTGTACCCAGCCTTAATGTTCTAAAAATTTATTTGAAAAAAATATATACATGTGTATATGTGTGTGCATCATATATATACATATACATCATGTATATACATATACATATATGTATATATATGTGTGTGTGTATGTGTGTATGTGTGATAGATATAGATATATATATATATATATATATATATATATATATATATATATATATATATATATATATATATATCTCAACATCAGTGTAGTCTATGCATCTGGGGCTACAAATAGGGCATATCCCAGAATTTGCCAGCAAGTCCAAGAAGTATCCCTCTGAAGCAAATGAAATCCATTTACGCTAGATGGGAACCTACCTCCAAAATAAAAGGCTAAGGGGATAAGGAGGAGGGAGAGGATAAGGGAGGTAGGTGCTAGGTGCTTTGGAAGGTGCTAGGATATATTTTTTTAATTTTTTAATATTTTTGTTTAAAGTTTTGAGTTCCAAATTCTATCCCTCCCTCTCTCCTCCTCTCTCTGAGACAGTAAGCAATCAGATACAAGTTATGCATGTTCAATTATGTAAAACAGAAGTGCTATGATATTAATGAAAACAACCTAATTTGATGTTATAAAACATCTAAGAGATCACCAGAAGAGTTGAGTTAATGCGTTCCTCTTGAGAGTGTTTTGGAACCTGGCTGTATCAGAACCTACACACAATACCCTGCAGAATGACCCAACTCTTTTTGCTCCAGTTCTTGACTCCTTTAGCAACCTGCCACTGACCACTGCAGGGCTCCAGGGGACTTGATCCTAGACTGATGCTGTTTCTGCCACCGTGGCTCCTGTAGCTAATACCCAGTGGTGTGTATAGCCAGCTTGAATAGATCGAGTTGATTGTTAAATTTTCAGTGTGAGCATTTGTACATCAGAAATTGACAAAAGCTACAAATTAGGACAATTACTGTTTTGTTGATTGTCTAGATTTTAAGAGTGATGGAAAACATTAATAATGCTGATTAAGCTTAAAAGTGTGACCTGCATAATTTTTTTTCAGAGAGCCAGTTGTTAAACATTTAACAGCACACCACTGACAATACCCTCAATGCTTTGGTATCTGGAAGGGTTACCCATGATCTCACAAGAGCTTTCCCTTTAGGAAAAGGGATGAAAACAGGAGGCCGCTCACTCCATAAACAGGCTTACCCAGGAGGCCTTGAGTTCAGAGCTTGCAATCTAATTGGGTATGGGGAAATAGACTCTCAATTCTCAGAGAGTTGACTTTATCTTTGAAGACTAGAAAGAAGAAAAGCCTGAGAGGGTGTAAACTGACCATTTGGCATAGCCACAGAATTCAGCAGCCAATTAAGTGACCTCACACAATTTCTTTGTTATGTGGAATATCTCTCTGGGAGGAGATGGAGGAAGGATACAGGGTAAAATTCAGATGATGTAGAAACAAATAATATTAATAAAAGCTCATTTTTTAAAAAAAATAGTGTTTTATAATGTTAAAAAGAGTTATCATAACTTACAGGAAATAGAGGACATCTGTGCCAGCTCTGAGGTTGGGAGAAGGGGAGAAATAGCTATCACCCCCCCAATCACATCCCTGAGAAGGTGCTAGGATATATTTTTTTTAATTTTTTAATAGTTTTGTTTAAAGTTTTGAGTTCCAAATTCTATCCCTCCCTCTTTCCTCCTCTCTCTGAGACAGTAAGCAATCAGATACAAGTTATGCATGTTCACTTATGTAAAACAGAAGTGCTATGATATTGATGAAAACAATCTAATTTGATATCATAAAACATAGCTTATTGTTGATGTATCTTAATTTTGTGCTGGATGGTAGGAAGTTTGGCAGGACTAACATAAGAATAATTAGAGTTAAAATTAGGTAAGGAAAACACATCCTTAATTGGCAATTTGTAGTCACAGAGGGCATTTTTCTGATTAATTAGTATAAAGGAGGTTTTTAATTATATTGAATAAGTTGGTCAGCTTGCATATTAGAAGCAGCACAAAAATGCCCTTCAGAAAACAAAGGAGCAGACAGACAAGGAAATAGACTGGTCATGGAATGGGAGCAGAAATAACAAACGAACAGCCCAAGGTTTGTGCTGGTCCCCATGGAATTTTAAACACCCAGACTAAGGCTTCCACCATGTTGGGTAAATCTTAGAAGGAAGGTTTACAGAACGTCATGGGCAAGAATCCCCAGGAGATGAGGAAGCATGGATGGGCTGCAGTGTGCATGGTTGGAGAGAGTTGCCACATTGGTGAGGACCTTTGAAGCACTCACCTAAATAATTGGGTTGGCACAGTAGATAGAGCACCGGCAGGAGTCAGGAGGACCTGAGTTCAAATTCAGTCTCAGACCAGACATTGGATACTTATTGGCTGTGTGACCCTGGGCAAGTCACTTAATCCTAATTGCCTCGTATAAATTTGTTTTTAAATGAATAAAAATAAATAAATAAATAATCGGGTTAGTGAGAACAATGGACCCGATATAAATGAGAGCAACATGTAGTGAGAAGCTTGCTGTATCTGAGGAGTAGAGGACACTGGGTTTCAATCTCACCTCTGCTACTTACTGCCTAGGTCACCTTGGAGAGATAACATCACTTCTCTGGGTCTCAGTTTCCTCATCTCTAAAGTGAGGGAATTAGGTTAAACAATTTTGAAGTTCTCGCTTCTCTTCCTTTAAAAGGCAGCTTGCTCAGGCATCATCTTCTAAATGAAGCCTTTCCTGCTTCCAGCCAACTGCTAGTGCCTGCCTTCCCAAACTATCTTGTATTTAACCACTTTGTAAAAAGGCAGCTAATAGATGAAGGGCTGCACTTAGAGTCAATAAAACCTGACTTTGAATCCTGATTCACACACTCCACGTGTGACCCTGGACAAGTCAATTAACTTCATCTGTAAAATGGGGATAATAAAAGCACCTGCTTTGCAAAGTTGTGAAACTTAAAAGAGATAATATTTGAAGTGTTTTGCAAACTTTGAAGTACCATATATACATTCCAGCTATTATTTGCATTGATTCACCTTATATTTGTGTTATATTTATGTATCTACTTGTCTCCCCCATTAGAATGTTTACTTCTTGAAAGCAGTGATTGTTTCATTCTTTATACTTGCGTCCCCAGTGCCTAACTCAATGGCTGGCACATAGTAGGTATGTACATAGTAAGTATCTACACAATAGGCACAATACTTATCAATTGATCCTAAGTAATGGATAGCTGGACATTAGCTATGGAAAACTCTGACATAATAGTGTATAGAGCCGCCTGTTTAAATCCTGTCAGAAATAGTACCGAAAATGTATATTAAATTAATGTATTCGTTAGTACGATTGGTGTGTATCCTATTGATTACATATTTGCTCTACTCATTCTCATTGATTCACTGATGCAATTAATTAAATTTTATTTATGCATAAATCATCATTTATTATTGCATGTAAACAAAGAAATAGTTTGTAAACTAGATGGATTAACAAGATGGCCAGACAATTGTAAGGGAAGCCTCCATTTTACCAGAGAATGGATCCCATCTCAGCTGGCAGTGAGGTACTTTATCATTTCAAAAATCTGGGATTTCATTGGTTTAAGTGCTTCCATGACTGGCACAGACCAGAACCCCGTTATGACTTGGTAGAGGGTCTACCGGAATTGCTAGAGCCCAGAAATTCATCACCACCTTGGTGATATCTCTCCAAGCTTATCTAGGATGGTCCTGAGAAGGACAAGGTCCATTCCAAGTCTTCATAGCTCCATGGAACTTACCCTTCAGCCCTTTGCTCTGCTGGTCAAGCCTTTAAGATTCCAGGCAACAACCTCCATGCCACCAAGTCGAAGCACCAGAGGATGACTTCAGCAGAGGAAGGACAATAACATTAAGCTCCCTTCATAGAAGATGCTGGCTTAAAACTCTAAGTCTACTTATTCAGTCCTCAAAATGATCCTGGGAAGTAGACAGTGCAAGTATTATTGCCCCTAATTTTTAAGGGAAGTCGGAAAGATCAAGAGCCTTACTCAGAGATTGTAGCTAGAAAGTAATACAGGTGGAACACAAACCAAATCTTCTGGTCCTGAGTTCAGTTTTCCAAATATGCTAAGAAGGGATCAAATGAGAATGATAGATATAGAATATGTAAGTATATATAAAATGTTTTGCAAAACCCTAAAGTAATTTATAAAGACATTATTTTTTAACAAACATCATTAAAATGACTATTATTAATGATGATAATAATTAATATTAATAATGATGGCAGTAATCATAAATATCATTGGAAGGAGGAGGTGAAATTCCTACCTGGGTTTTGTGAACCAACTTTAGAATTAACTCAAACGTCTTAAAAACTCAAACAAAATGATGGTTGCATCACAATTTAATAGATATTTTTAAATTGCTGAGGGAAATCCACAGGTTAAATGAGTGTTCATTCATCAGATGATCACTAGATATACTACTGTGGGCAAGAATCCCTTAGAAGAAATTGAGTAGCCCTCATAATCAATAAAAGGGTGAGGAAATGACCAAATGATATGATATCTGTTCAAATGCAAGACAAACCATTTGACACCATAGTAATACAAGTCTATGCTTTAATCACTGCTGCTGAAGGGACAAAAATTGATCAGTTCCATGAAGACCTACAACATTTTCTAGAAATAACATCCCCCAAAAAGATGGCATATGCATATGGGATTGGAATGCTGAAGTAGAAAAGCAAAAGAGAATTGGAATAACAAGCAAGTTTGGCCTTGGAATACAAAATGAAGCAGGGCAGAGATTAATAGAGTTTGGTCAAGATAACTCGCTGGTCATAACAAACATTCTTTTTCAACAACCCAAAAGTTGACTCTCCAGATGGACATCACCAGATGGTCAATATTGAAATCAGATCAATGATAGACTTTGTAGCCAAAGGTGGAGAAGCTCTATACAGTCAGTTAAAATGAGACCTGGAGCTGCCTGTGGCTCAAATCATGAGACATCTAGATAGTGTCAGGAAACCAACAAACATGAACTGTCCAAGTGAAGTCCAAGACTTCAAGTGATAGTGGCAGATAGCAGAGCCAGGCATGCTGTGGTCCGTGGGGTCATGAAGAGTGGGACATGACTGAACAGCACCACCCTGGATGCTCCTAAGGGAAATCCACAAATTAAATCAGTGTTTACTGTACCCCTAAGGACTTCTACCACTCATTGCTCTCCCAGGTCATCACCACCCCTCCAACATAACTTTTCTTCCTTCCCAATCTTGACCCTATAACCAATTCAATTGTACACCATCCTGTATGATCCAGTCCCTTGACCCCTTATCACCACTCATGGCCTTCTCTGGTTCGCCCCCACCATCTTGCCTTCTCTTCTCTTCCAGGTTCTAGAGGAAGTTATACAACCCTCTTAACTGATCCAACTGCGGAAATATTTTATCTAATGTCTCCTGGGCCATTACTGAAGCAAGGCAATATTGTTTTACTTTTCCCAAACTGACTGTTGTGCTCTCTGAAGAGACAATTACAAGCCTTTTCCTTTCTCATCACTCATGCAACTTCAGCTGTTGCCTCTTCCTTCTCCTTTATAGAGGAGTTCACATGTTACCAAGAAAATGGAGGCATCTACAATGAGCCTGTCTTCCTCTTCAATTTCACATCATCCCCATTCTTTGCTCTCTTGGTTCAGTCTCTGAGAAAGATGTTGCTATCTCCTTGCCATACCAACCCCCATGCTTGTACCCTTAACTCCTGCTTCCCAATCATTCCTTCTCACTCTCCAATTTTTAGTTGCTCCCTATCTACTATATCCTTTCCTGCTGCCTACAAACCCCCAGTCTACTTTATCCTTAAAAACGTTCACTTGACCCCACTATGCCCCTAAGCTATCTCTCCTCCCTTCCATAGTCTTTTTTTTTAAAAATTGGTTTAACAAATGGTACCTCATTATGTCCTCATAATATGGCACTTAATAAATGTTTGTTGAATGACTGACTTCACACACAGCCACCAACTTCCTGCAGGTGCTTATTATCCCTCACTGGTGTTTTTGAAGTAGCCTCCCAACCCCTGCCACAAGAATCTTTAATCGTTCCCAATTGCCTCTGTGAGAAAATAATCACCTTTCCGGTTTGGCATTTCTAGCCCTTCGCAGTCTGGCTCCAGCCTGCTTTTCCAGGTTTATTCTTCTACAAATAGTCTGCATTCTTGTCACACTCTCCTTCTCGCTATGTCTCACTTCTCCTCTTGGGGGCTGTTTTTTTATATGTACAAAATGAATAGGTTGTACTAGATTAATCAATTTATTAAGTGTCTACTGCATGCTGGGCACTATGCTAAGCACTGGGGATACAAAAAGAGGCAAAAGACAATCCCTGCCCTCAAGAAGCTTACAATAAAATCAGGAAGTCAACATGCAAACAAATACATACAGAGCAAGCTGTATACAGCAGCATAAACAGGAAATAGTTAACAGAGGGAAGGCACTGGAATTAAGAGGGGGTGGATAAAGCTTCCAATAAAGGAAGGTATTTTAGTAGGGACTTAAAAGGAAGCCAAGGAGGTCTGAGTTCTGGGCAAGGAGGATAGCCAGAGAAAATCCGGGACATAAGCTCTAAGGTTCCTTCAATAATAGTGTTAACATCATGATGGGTAGGATCTCAGGGTAGAAAAGATTTTATTATTAGAATATAGAAAATCCCTCCAAGGATTCCCTTTGGGTCCAGGCTATGTAATAAAGTGTATGTGCAATGTTATCCAGATTACATCCCCATCTGTCTTTAATATGGTACTCAAGGCCATACCGAAAGTCCCCAGAGGTCTTCACTGCTGCCAGTGAGGTACAAGGGCATCAGAGGAGGTTAGAAAGTAGCCTGGAGGTGGACATTAGTCTGCTCGGGTCAGGCCTCTGTGGCCACTCGCATTTCATAGAAGCTGCCCTGGGTATAGCGATGGAGTGGTTCAATGGAAATTCAATGTGACTCACAACATGAAAGCTACGAAATGATTTCTCCGAAGATAATCCATTTGTTGTCCTACCATCAGATTAGACATTTCTTTGTAAATCCTAGAGCACTTCACAAATACCAGCTGTTATCTTGGTCATCGTTATTACCATGGCTCTAATCAACTGACAAACATGAAGTACTTACTGTGTTCTAAGCACTGGGTACAGTGCTCATAGGGGAGGAGAGAACCAAGCTTAGCTAAGGTACCTGTCGCCAAGGTTACTGGCTGTACCCCCTGTCGGTATTCTTCTCCTCCCTACCTCCACCCCTTAGAATCCCTGCATCATTCCAGGGGTGACTTAAGTGCCCCCGACACCAGAACCAGCCCTTTGGTGGTGCCATCCCTGTCTCTACCCCGAATTACTGCTGTCTGTCTGCCTAGCTGTCTGTCTGTCTGCCTGCCTGTCTGTCTATATGTATGTTTCTGCTGTTGTTTGTTCCTTATTTCCAAAGAGAACCAATGCCATGATAGGTGACTTGTGCAGGAATTGCATTTGAGTGTGGCAGAGCTGCACAGAGTCTGTGGCTTCACTTTCTCTTCCAGAATCATCGAAGCCCAGGGGCAGGGCAAAAGTCAAGACAATGGGCAACGGACCAGGATATAGTGGATGACCTTGGCATCTTCCGTGTCTAACCAACCTCCAAGCATTCCATAGCGCCTACTTAAGCCACTCTCCCGTCAATTGGAACAAATTGCCCATTCCCCTGGGGGAAGTCTTCACGTGCTTGGGGTGGACTCCCCTTTAACTCACTGACAGGCTGGAGTGCTGTCAGTTACCTTCAACCTGGTTTGTCCTGTCTACTGAGACAGTTGACCAAAGTGTGGCTGCTGCACATGCTACAGCTTCTTGGTGCCACGGGTAAGAGTTGGGTGAATCAGGTGGACACCAAAGGTGGATGAACCACCCTGAAAAGGACTCAGCAAGCCCTAATGCCGGAGGTACTAGTCCTACTGAACAATCTATACACCCCTAGTATGTATCTGTGTATTGATGTTAGCTTAGTCGGGAAACAAGACATCAATGTATGGTTCTAAGATAGAACATTACAAGGTAAATTCATCTCCAGTGGCCCTGAACTGTTTTGCCACTAGACTCTGATGACTCTGGAGGAGAGAGTGAGGCTGATGACTTTGCACAGCTCTGCCTCACTTAAATCCAATTCACTTGCAAGTCAAGATTTAAAATGGTAAATACACTGGTAAGTTGCAAAGCAAAAAGATGGTACATTTGTCAGTCAGTCAAATAGACAATAGACCTTTATTAAGTACCTACTATGTGCTGGGCACTGTGCTAATAGTCTAATAGCAGAAGACAGAACACAAAAGGGAAGCTAAAAAGAGGACAGGCCAGTGGGGCTTGATTGGGAGGCTGGAGGGTAGAGTACCAAAGTCCTTCCAAATCTTCCTTTACAAAGGAAAGAAACTGGAATTTTTACTCACTCCACTCTTCATCTGCTGCTCTGCTTAGTTTCAAGTCTGAGGAACAGGATGCCCCGTGCTGAGTACTTCCCGGTCTCTCCTCCTCTCTTCTCCGCACCCCTTTCCTGTTTCCTTTTGTGTGTAGTCTCTCCCAATTAGATTGTAAGCTCCTGGAGGGTGGGGACGGTCTTTCTTTTTATTAATGGTATCCCCAATGCTTGCACAGTGCCTGGCACATAGTAGGTACTTAATAAATGTTTATTGGATTGGATGGGGAAGATACAACTGCCCTCCCCCAAGAGCATAGAGATGTCAGAAAAATCCCAGAGGAGTATGGCCAGGTAAGAAATGAGGAGATATCTGAGCTGAGCTCCTTCCTTAAATAGAGATAGGGAGTTCATGACTCATCCTCCAATCAGAGGGGCAGAGGGGAATGATGAGGTAGAGTAGTACCAAAGCTGACGAATATGAGGTTTTCCCAGTGATAAGGTTCCTGGGTCATGGTGGAGAAGTCAGAGAAGTCCCAAAGTCACATCAGGGTGAGGAATGAGGATTATAATATGTCAAACGAGATTTCAAAAAGCATCCACTTTTCCTAGAGGCCAGTGTGGTGACAAGATCTTAAGTAATATCCTAACAGCTCAAGAACTGGGCTGGACCAGTTATTAAGGTTAACAAGATAAGAGGCTGATAAGATCTGAATAAGCATATTAATAATGATGATGATGATGATGGCGACTGGCATTTATATAGTGCTTTATGGTTTGCAAAGAGGTTTACAAATATTACCTCATTTGATTCTCGTAATGATCCTAAGAGCTAGGTGTTATTATTATCTCTATTTTACATGTTAGGAAACTGAGGCAGACAGGGAGATAAAGTGACTTGCTTAGGGTCACACAGGTAGGAAGTGTCTGAGGCCAAATGGGAATTCAAATCTTTCTGATTCCAAATCAAAAGCTTATCTGCTATACTACCTATTCATGTTCAGTTGTTTTCACTTGTGACTGACTTTGCATGATCTCATTTGGGGTTTTCTTGGCAGAGATACCAGAGTGGGTTTCCATTTTCTTCTCCAGTTCATTTTATAGATGAGGAACCTAAGGCAAACAGGATTGAGTGACTTACCTAGAGTCACCCAGCTAAGAAGTGTTTGAGGCTAGATTTGAACTCAGGAAGATGAGTCTTCCTGATTTCTGGCCACCCACTCTATCCATCATGCTGCCTCACTGCCTCTAACTACAGTAGTTGCTTTGCAATGTCAATTTTTTTAGATGTCTCATCATTAATGACAAATAATAAACAGATGTTAAGAAGGGTGGGAGTAGATTTTGATACACACTGCTCTAAGCTCTCCCATTTTCTCTATCGCATGAAACGTGTGATGTTCAGCACTTTTCAGTCCAGCAAGGAATGGGACTGTACGTGCCAATTTCCAGAATTGGTTTCTGAAGGCAGAGCTCATGCCTGTACTATGTTCTTTCTGAGCATGTTCTAAAAAAATAAAAAGAGTAGCTTTTTTTCTCCATGTTTACAGAACCCCCAACAGGGCTGTGATCTCAACAGTGTGGTCCTTCCTTCGCTAGCTCACATCATGATTCATTGTCCTCCTGTCCACCCTGGGCAATTCTGGTCCCTCCCTGTCTTTCTATAAATTCTTCATTGAGAAGCCACTCAAAACTCCCCCACTTCTTGCATTCATGGTCGTGGGTACAACCCTTAGGCCGACCATCTTTTGTCATTAGAGGATGGGGGCCAACCTCCTGCTTGGTCATCTATGTCTAGAATGATGGTTTTTCTACCAATTTGTGAGCCAACTGTGGCACAGTGAATAGAGTTTTGGCCTTGGAGTTGGGGAGATGTGAATTCAAAATTAGCCTCAGGCTCTTATTAAGTGTGTGATCTGAAGCAAATCATTTCACTTCTCTCAGTCTCATTTCCTTCATCTGTAAAGTAGGGGTCATAACAGCACCTACCTCCCGGGGTGGTTGTGAAGATCAAATAACACATGAAAAACTCTTTGAAATCTTAAAGTACTATATAAATGTGAGCTTTTATTATGCATGGATACCATTGGGAATGTGTTATAGCCTATTGGCATCTGTTCCTTTTCCCTTCAGGCCACCTAAAATTGTAATTTTTCTGAGATCATGATCCACCATGAAAAGGCCATTCAATTCAATTCAACAATAATAAGTGGCTAGGTTCAAGGTACAGTTCTCTGACCTCAAGGAGCTTATCGTCTAATATGTAAGGGGCAGCTGGTAGCACAGTAGAAAGAACACTGGGCTTGGAGTCAGAAAGACCCGAGTTCAAATCTGGATTCAGACACTTCCTAGCTGTGTGGTGCTGGACAAGTCACTTAACCTCTATTTGCCTCAGTTTCCTCATCTGTAAAAGAAGGATAATAATAGCACCTATTTCCTGGGGATGTTGTGAAGATCAAACAATTATAAAGCGCCTGACACTTAGTGAGCACTATATAAATATTAGCTATAATTGTTATTACAGCACTGGGCTTAGAATCAGAAAGACTTGAGTTACTTCCTAGTTGTATGACCCTGGGCAAGTCATTCAATCTCTTTTTGCCTCAGGTTCCTTAACTGTCAAATAGCACCACCTCTAAGGGTCATTATGAGACTCAAGTGAGCTAATATTTTTAAAGCACTTAGCACATGCTGACACATAGTAGGTGCTTATATAAATGCTTATTCCCTTCCTTTATCTAACAATAGATCATATTTATATAACACTAAAGACTAGCAAAGTCCTTCATCTATTTTATCTGATTTGACAAACACAACATTTGTAATGTGATGTGTTAAA